CCTGTAAACCGGAGAAGATTGTCGAGGAGCTACCGCAGTTATAAAAATTAATTAAATTAACTAATTTTGTATTTCCGAGATCGAAGAGTCCAATGGAAGAACGTGGTTTTTCGATGATTGAATATTCCTGAAAAACTCCAGGACATACCGAAAAGAGCATATCAGAGCTACGACGAGGGTTAATAGAGATGCGGGCTATAGTTTACCTTAAGGAGAGGGAAACATACTTAATTGAAAAAGTTGTAAATGATAAAAATTTACGTAATTATTGAAGAAATCTCGCATTAGTGGGACACACTATGTTCATGAAAGGTATGAATATAACGGTAATAACTTTGAAAGCTTCACACAACAATGCTAGTCTGTCAAACTGTCCATCTTTCGCGGTATTATTTATTTATGTATGTATGTGAAGGACTATTTCCATATTAATAATTGTTATATTAGTTGCTATATACGTATATACTTCTACATTGTATACCAGGTGTAAATATGTATATGTGCTGCAAGTTGTAGTTTTTACTTTTTTAAACTATTCTTAGCATAATATTGTCATTATTGTTTACCTTTTTCCCGTTAGACAAACTTTTTTCGTTGCCATCAATGTGTAAATATGTATGTATGAATGTATAAACTTTCGCTTGTTTTCTACTTGTCACTTCCCATTATGCTATGTTTAGTCTTGAAAGTCTTCAAAAATGTTTCTTTTTTCTATAATGAAGGGAAAACAATTATGGAAAATGCAGAGAGACAGCATAAAAATTTTTTATGTATGTATTTTGAATTAATAAATTTTGGCATTTAATATTTAAAATCTTTTTTTCTGAAAAAAAATTTGGAAAAGACTCGGCATATGGATTGCATGCAGCCAAAAATGATCAGAAATTTGCTGCAGATTTGAATAAATGATATGATGTCAAAAGCAATGATTCATGAATGCTCTCCCTTCGACTATGTGAGACCATTTTCGGTTAGTCAATATAACTTAAATTAACACCGAATTTTATGAGGGAATTCACATTTTTGGCGCACAAGCCCAAAGTTACCAAGAAATTCCACATCGGCCATAAATTTGCGTTGCATTCAAAAGCTACGTTGTAAGCAATAACAACGACAAAAATTTATAACAATAAAAAATATGTAAAGAATGGCTTTAAGGCCATTACATTACATACATATGTACATATATATATAGAAAGTTATTGTTTGCATTTTGAGATCAATGCAATTGAAAGTAGCTACCCCATGGACTGCTGCCTGTGACATACATGGCGTATACGTAACTTTTTCCTTTTTATTTAGAGCGCACACACACAAATATTTTCAAACATTTACGGTTTAACCTATTTTATTTTTGAAGCGAATTTTATACAGTGTTTTTGTTTCGTTCGCTTTTTTCGCACTCTTTTAGTTGGCTACAAATATTGTGGATTTTCTCGCCTATTTCTCACATCATTGCATGTGACGCATGACGCGTTGCGCGCACTTGAGCTTACATTTACATGCTTCTTTGTCTGCCGTCCCTATGTAAATAGGTATGTATGTACGTAGGCTTATTTGAATTTAAATAAATATATGTACATGCAGTTGTGTGTATATGTGTGGGCTTTCCTATGTTCATCTTATGGCCTACTCTAACATTTTATGTTCATATGCATATACTTATATGCATACAAATTTGTATATGTGCATTGTGTACCCATGTGTGGTTAAAATAAGTAAGTCAATAGTGGCCCCGTAGCACAATAACAAGGCGCGAGTGTTTTTTGAGGGCTATAATGAGCGGCGTGCACTCGAAAGCATATTTACATACATAGAGATATATGTATGCACATGTGAAAAGAGAGAAGCATTCCACATGGTAATTTCCTCGCTACCTTCTTTTACTTAAATTAAATTTAACGTGATTTAATTAAATTAAATTATTTTCAATTTGATTTTGTTTTATTTTCACTTATTTCAATAAATTTATTTAAGTTCACTTTAATTAAAAGAGTTTACTGAATTTACCACATTTCAATCAAATTAATTTTAATTTATTTTTTCTTAGATTTAATTTAATTTCTAAACTGCTTTTTTCGGCTATAATATTAATTTTTGTTGTAAAAACTTATTTTTTGCTGGTTGGTAAAGAATTAAATAATACAACAATAGATGGCTGATGTTGGCACGGAGGAAAAGCACTCACCTATTAAGTCTGGATCCAATGCTGCTGTCACTTGTTGCTTAACAAAAATAATCAATTCATATAAGCAAGCCATGTCTTCAGTTCAATAAAAACATAAAACAAAAATTAATTTTATTTCATTTTTCATTGAATGTTTTATTTTAATTTATATTATTCCTGTTTTTATCATTTAATTTAATTTTTTGTCATTATGAGGTATTAATCTTTTATTAAATGATATTTTGTTTTTGTTGAATGTTTTATTTTATTTTTTATTTCATTATATTAAGTTTATTTTGTTTTATTTTATTTGACTTTTTTCAATTTATTTTATTCAAATCTGTTTTATTTTCGTTAATTTAATTTTTCAATTTAATTCATTCGTTTTTATACTAACTTTACTTTCTTAATTTATTCTATTTTATTTTATTTATTTTATTTAACTATTTTTTAAACTTTTTTTAAATTGTTTTATTTCATCCAAGTGGCTTACACTATTTTGTTTTTTATTTTTTTATAACATTTTATTTGAAGTTATTTAATTTCATTAATTTTTAATTTTATTTTAATTTTCTAATTTATTTTGTTTTTATATGTATATAATTCTATATAATTTTTTTTTTCAATTTTATTTTACTGTGTTTTATTTTATCCAAGAGAATTATATAATATTATTTTTTTTTGTTCATTCTTTCGTTTTTGGGTTTATTTGCTTTAATTCTGTTTAATTTGGTGTTATTTAATTTAATTTCATTTTTGTATTAAAAAACCAAAATATTTGTTATTTATTATATTTTATTTGGTCTTTTTGTAATATATATTGTAATAAATTTATTTGAATTTCAATTAGTTAATTTATTTTTTTTGTTAATTCTATTTAATTTTTGCCAGTTAGGATTATTTTATTTCATTTCATTTTACTGCACGTGAATTTTATTTTATTTCATGTTTTTTTTTTATTTTATTCAATTTAATTTAGTTTAATTTTTTTTACCAGTTTTGAGTTTTATATTATTTGTTTAAATATAACTTATTTTTACTATTTTCTTTGAATTTAATTTTAGCTTAGTTATATTATTTTTTTATATTTTGCATGCATGTTGCACTTTATTTTGTTTTTACTTTATTGTATTACATTCTATATGAGATTATTTTATTTATGTTTTTCTTATTTCATTTTTTTCTTTTCATTTATTTTGTTTTATTGTTTTCATTGGTATGTTAATTTGTTTATAATTAAATTTTTTGTTTAAATAATTATTTATTTTATTTTTCTTTTGATCTTATTTAATTTTTTAAGTTAATTTTTATTTAAATTTTTTTCATTATAAATATTAGTTTGCCATTTTTGTTTAATTTTTTTTTTAATTTAATTTTATATTCGTTTCTTGTTTCTCAACGTGGAACACTCCAATTGAAAATCCAACATAAGTATGTACATTCCTCTGTACAACCACTATATCGAGAATCCCCTCGATTATGCACATTTTTATAGATTACGAAAATATTTACCATTACCCAGCAGTTATCGATGTATCTACATATTGGAATCATTGAATTCTCATTCTGAGTTTCCCCCAAAAGCCGATTCTTCTTCTTTTTTTCCTAAACACTTCAAGTATGCATGCCACTTATGCATACATATTTGTATGTATGAATATACTACATATTCGTATACTTTAACCGCACAACCAATATTGCCCACCACATTTACCCGCTAGCCAACTCTACACCCACGCGAAATCGGCGTTAATACGGGTATGTGTGTGTGTGTGTGTAAGTGATACCCCTAACAGCTTGTTATTGAGTGTAGTTACACTTTTTCATATGTATTTACCATTTTTTCTAGTTTCATATTTTGTTGTCTTTCAAGTGCAATCAGATATGTAAGGTATGCGGCTAATATGTACTGCATGTGTCATATATGTAAGTATATATTACATAGCTTATAACCAATAATAAACTAAATGTATATACAACGATGCCAATATAACTACAATATACTTACAAATATAAATATGCATGTATGTATACGGATAGAACTCTTCAAACAACAGCTGCTGTTAATGATGATGATGACGAGAATGATGATATCGCTCTGCTATGTATGTATGTATGTATGTATGTAGCATTGTTGTTGTGTTTGTTGTTGCTTGTTGCCGCCAAGTTTGGCGTCGATGATGCTTTCAGTAGCGTTTATTGAATCAAAAGATGATTCAGTTTTGTTTTTTATGTGCCACTGACGTCTACAGTATTTCGCCCCGCACAAGCCCATACACACATTCACCCCGCATCATGAAACTATTTTACTTTGAATGATTTAATTGGCTATGTCTGTGTGCGAATATTAGATACATTCAAGTGCTTAATCGCTTTTTCAATGTGAGTGCCACTCATAGATTTTCACTGTTGCCGCCCTCTCCTTCGCGTACAGCACCCTTTTAGCGGTCACTACTTTCGTAAGTGTGCCACAGACACCGCAACCACATTTCTTTCCCTCATTTATTCATTCGATATGCGAGTATTTCATAGTTCAGTAGGCAAATGTAAAAGAGCGCAATGAGTTTTTAAAATTTTCTTTGCCGCTGACAGTATACAGAGTGGACGAAAATCTATTTGACAGTGATTTTAAGGATAAAAATACAAAGTAAAAAATACAAAAATTGTTTTAGAAAACCGCAGAATTCATTATATGATTGCTGGTGTGTGAATATTTGGTTGGACATAGTGACTTTTGCTAATAAAGAATATCATTTCAATTAATCTCAACTCAATTCACTCATATTTCATATATTTTTACTACTTTTCCGTACTTTCACTACTTACATTTCAGCTCCTTAGTAAAATACACATAACACATTAGAAATTGAAACGGTATGGTGAAAATGGAATCCACAGAAGAACAGGATCGAAAGTTAGTATTGGAGTTTTGCCATTTGCTCGAGAAATCTAAGCAACTGTTCAATGGCCTCAGGTGAGTGAAATTCTTAAAAGAAAAATTTTATTATTTTAATTATATATTTACATATACATACGTACATGTAAATATTTAATTTCACAGAGACCTGCCACAATATGGCCATAGGCAATGGCAGGCGTATTTCGGTCGTACATTTGATGTCTACACGAAATTATGGAAATTCCAACAACAGCATCGCATGGTATTGGACTCGAAATATGGTCTGAAGCGATGGCAAATTGGTGAAATCGCAAGCAAAATTGGACAGCTTTATTATCATTACTAGTAAGTGCAAAAACATATACTATGAATGTTAGTGTTAGACTTTAAGTATGTATGTATGAAGTTAGGAAAATCTAGCAAGAAAGTAAAGTTGGTGAAAGATTGATATAGACAAGCGGATGCTAACTAGCGCTCTCAAATTGAGTTTTCGAAAGCTATATTTGGTGAGAAAATTCCAAGCACGTGCTCCTAAATCGGTGGAGAAGTTCAGCGTAACAATCTAAGTTTAAAATTAAAATTTCTTAAAAATTGTTACAAAATCGACTTAATTTGTGCCAAATTTCTGACAATTTGTTTGTTGATACTTATATTTTAAGTAAACATGAAAACAAAACGGCAATAACTTACACATATTGTATATACCGAAAGCTCCTTATGGACCTGAGCTTAAAGCTTGTACAAAGCACCTTTAGTTTTTTCGAATGTACCCAAAGCCTTTTAGAGAGAAATATAACCGATTCCAATTAAAAATCAGGCTCTGCCAACTTCTTTAGTGTGAAAATTTCTTCTAAGCCCAAAATTAGTTTCAGTTTCTTATTTTTTGATGAAATAATGTAGATAAAAATATTATTATATATATTGGTGCGTCACCGAACGTTATTTTTCTAAATAAATAGAATTTTATAGTCTTTAGTTAGCGAAATATATGTAAAACGCTTTTCAAATATCATGTTTTTTTCCAAAACAGAGCACCCCTATTAATTTTTGTTGATTGCAAATTACTTCCGGCTCTAAGGTTTAAGCTGAATCTCTAGTAATATAGAGCTTTCCACAAAGCCATATTGACGATCATTCATGCAACGAAGTTCACATGAATTCGGAAAAAAATTATGACAATAGTCTATATACTTATGAACATGAGCTTTAAGCTTATTCAAAGCTCTTTTCACTGCTTCGGCTATATTCAAATGCTTACAGACAAGAGGTAAAACCAATTCTATAAAAATTCACAGTTTTTTTTTTTGGTTTCCGGACTTGATTGTAAGTTCGAAGTTTGGGTTTGTTAATGTTCGGCAAATACACGATAAAAGTTTTTGTTGCTCTTGATCTTACGATCTCAGTTTTGATGTTGCTTCTTTGACTTCAGCTTTTGTTCAGAGGAGCATATCTTTTAACATACTTTAACACCTTAAATTTAACACATTATTTTATCGCCAAATGTTCTTGGTATCCGAAAGAGTAGATCAAAGAATAACAGATTTGTGAGGTTCCCAGGAATATACATCTAACTTCTTAATCTTATGGAATAATATACTTACACAATTTTCGAGGCGAATAATTAATTTTCCTTTATTTACAGCTTAAGAACCAGCGAAACGAACTACCTGAATGAAGCTTATCAATTTTATGCAGCTATTAGAGGTAGAGCATATTATTCGCGTGCGATCAAAGAGGATCGGCCCGATTTAATGGTGAAGAAGTTGCGTTATTATGCGCGGTTTATTGTTGTTTGTTTGCTGTTGAAGAAAATGAAGTTGGTTCGTGAGTTAGTGACGGAATTGGAAAAGCAAATACAGGAATACACAACAACGTAATTTATTAATAATTTATAGAAATAAATAACCATTATTTATTTTTTTTTTGAATTATGAAAACTAAAGTCTCATACCTTTACTTGCAGTTACGAACCAGAGGATCATTTAGAATGGTCATTAGTTTTAGAAGAGATAAAAGGTTTTATAAAAGCTGAAGCTGCCGTGGCTGTTCTCCATGCGGATTCCAACCCCATCATACTTTCACACAGGTGAGTCGAAAAGCAAAACTAAACACGGACGCCGTGAAAACGCCGTCGCCCGCGCCCGTGCTTTCTGTGGGAGGAAATAGAATTTAATTTAACCTAAAAAAATATATACTAACTTACTAAATTAACTAACTAAAAAAGTGAAATAATAATAATAATAATAATAATGATGATAATACGTGTTGAAATGTACATATTTAATTTGGGAGGTACTCTGGTTACTTATTTATTTTGAACTTTTATTTAGAAAAACTGTTTTTTTCTCAATGATAAGTTATGTTAATAGTTTTATAATAATATTTTGTTTGATTCAAATTAATACGATATTTATATATAGGTTATTGTGCTTATCACAGAAGACTTGAAACATCCGAAACAATCATATAACAACATCAAAGTCATTTACGCATTCATTATTTTCATTATCAATGAGTCATCACTCAATCAGCTACTCAATCAGTTACTCAATCAGCTACTCTCTCTCTCTCTCAAGAAAACTTTCAACAAATCATGTTATTTTCAGTTTAACGTAATTTTGTACTCGAAATCTCAACATACATACATATTTACGTACATTCAGTTTAGTTTATTTAACAATTTTCATTTTCATAATTTGTGTTTTTTTTTTGTTTGCTAATGACATTGTTGTTGTTATTATTATTGTTGTTAAGTTATATCCATTTCACCGATCAACGCGTCACTTGCACACACATGTCAGAGTCAGTTGATCAATCGAAAATCACAACCTCACCTCACACTCCAGCAAATCCCCTCACCATCACTTACTTGTCTTCACATTCACATTCACATTCACATTCGATGCGTGTCATCTCTGTGGCATTGTTGAAATATTGGCCAGAGACACACGCCCACTATCACCCACTGCAATCACACTCACACGCACTCACCACTTTCCCACATACCCACCACACCATTTATAGCATCACATTCTCAATTCTTCTGTGAAAGCACGGGCCCACACTGTCATTTCTTTAGAATAGCTTGACTTCACCAACTGATATTCAGTGGTTCCGGTTCTAGGTTATCGCCGTTAACGACGCCACCATGTGAACGATCGCCGCATATGACGTTGAGCTTACAGGAGATACTCATTGTTGGCTCGGCGTGTGAACAGGCGAAGTTCTCCGAGTTAACAATGGACATGTTTAGGTAAAGTGAAAAGCATTAAAAAAAAAAAAACAAATAGCTTCTTGTGTTTAAACACAAAAATGTAAAAATGAATAAATATTTTTTTATTGCCTTTGTTTTTGTAGAATGTTGCAAACACTCGAACGGGAACCAACGGAATCAACGCATCCGATGAACATCACACATGGCATGCATGGGCACGATGCCAGTCCAGCTGCCAGCCGCATACCACCATATGGTGTTCCAGGTTCTAAGGGTTACTTAGAAAATGGCCGTCATTATCGAGACAATCCTCACAAATATTTACTATACAAGCCTTCTATTAGTCAACTTCTGGTGTTCTTAGCTAGTGGATTTAAAGAATTGCCTCCAGGAGGCGCATTACTCTTATATATGTCAGCTGATGGTTGTTTCTCGACTACAAAACATCCAGAGGATTGTAAGTATGAGAAGAATATGAAAAATATTGTAAGTTTTTTAATGACGGCGAAGCGAAGTGCTGATAATAGCTCGGATAGTTTAGTACAAGAGACCGAAACTCTATGCTCTTTTCACGTTAGCCAAAGCTGACTGCGAACTTTTTGCCCAGCTGTTCAAGTAAAGTGATTGGCAGATTGGTACAATCACATAACAGATATTTTCTTCCAACCCAAAAAATTATATAAGTAACCTCTGTCTTTTCAATAATCTTAAAGGTTTCATTAAAACTTTTTCTTAAGTAAATTGTGCGTGCAAGATCAGCAAACTTACCATAGGTTGTACCATTACTTGTACTTTATTTTAGTTTGGCCATTGGATATACGAGATTCTTACTCATCCTCTTTCGATTTAGAACTTTAGGCGGCGGAGTTTTCAGAGGAGGGGAAAAGTATATTTCGCCACACAAGAGTCGATCAAATATCGGGTTCAATAACGACCTTATGTCTTCTCTCGCATGCAGGGTAGACTATAGATATTTCTTAATCTATGAACCGACGATGGACGGAAAGATTGACAGTGGGAATCACTATCACAGAGATTTCTTAACCAATAATAAACCTCTAGACTCTGCGTAAATTGAAGTTCTGGTGCGGTTATCTACCTACATTAAGTGAGTGATCTGCGGCCTGCTTTTGGACGATTGAGCTTGAACTCAATAACTGAACAGCTCCGTGTGACCAAAGTTAGTGAACATTGTTCGATCGCTATTCACGCAGGTCCTTCTTTGATCGATTACCTTTAAAGTTTGACTATTTACGTTCTTCCCTCTTTCGTTCCCGATTTATAATAATTTAAAAATAATTATATGCTAATAATGGATAATTTTCTTATTCAATTTCCAGATGGCTATGAGTTGGGTGGCCTTGCTACGAGCGTCAAACGTGATGGCGTTGAAGGCGGTGGCATAGCATGTCGAGGGAAATCCTACAAGGAGAATCATTGCCTCTACCCCGGTGATTTGTATCCCTTTACACGCAGACCAATGTTCATTATCATCGATTCAGATAATTCATTTGTCTTTCAACACATACCACGTTACTTTGGTCAACCGTTAGTCATATTAATGTCACCGCAAGATGTGCCGCCCGCTTTTCAAGGTAATTACATTAACAACAACAATAACAATAACAACAACAACAACATATCACACAACTTCCTAAGTGTGTATAATTATGTTAATTACATCTGTGTGAACATTTTTATTTATTGTAGCTGATGTACAGCATCATGGTTCGCTATTCACCTTGTTCCTGCATTCCCCGCTAACGGCGCTCTGCTACATTTGTAATGTCGGTGATGTGCCCATACATCATTGGGAGCGCTGCCAATCGCATGTGGACCGTTTCATAACAGAGGCATCAAGACTTGTGACGCGTTGTCGAATCGATGAAATTGAGCAGGGTATTGGTTTTATAGGTTAGTTAGTAGATGATTATTATATAAATATTTATTATATAGGGTTATCCATTTAGTGGTTTCAAAAGTACAGGGTTATATTTTGACATCTGTCATGCTTAACGTTGAAACCAAACATGTTTTGTTATAATTAAAAAGTTAAATTTTGGAATGCCTCCTACAAAAATGATGCTGTGGTGCACATAATCGCTCAACTACTCAAGCAATTGGTAAAATATTAAAGAAATTTGAATGGACTGAATTGGTTATACGTGTAGATACCGCAAGGCCGTAAATTCCATCATTTTTCTAGCTCCACCTTAATTGTGGTAAGGTTCCAGTCTCGGTCCGACCAAAGCCCAAAACTATCGACTTTATCATGCGCTGGAACTTTCTTATGGCTTATTCTTACGCCTATATCCATATAAAGTACAGCTCATACAACAACTGAAGGCAGCTGAACAGTCATAACGGCGTACTTACGTCAATCGTGGGCTCTAATAACAAGCAGTATACGACGATTTTTGGGCATAATTTGCTCAACAAACGTGGCACATTTTTCACTCGGAGTATACGTACGTGGTCTGCGTCTTGAAGTTTCACCAACAAAACAGAGGGACCTACAGTTTATTTTAAGCCGCCTCCGAACGGCCGATGAATATTTATTTATGAGCAGATTCTTATTTCACGTCAGAAATATACTCGCAGGAGTTGAGATTCCCTGCCGTAGGGCGGCGGTAAATAGCAAAATAAATTTTCTATATTTTTGGATGACGATCGATCCAGGACTTGAACTCCAGCCTTCCTATTGTTAGTAAGCAATGTTTACCACTCGGCTTTGCGGCCGTCTAAGACGAGGCCTAATTTTAAAGAGAAGCAATTTCAGGAAAAATATCATATATTTTAAATGCATTGCAATGGATGGCCCTGTATAATACAATATAAACATTTCAAATATTTTATTTATATAAAAATTGATTTCATATTTTTCCCCAACACACAGACTCATCGTACGTACAATTCTTTGGTGATGACTTTTTACGTACGCTGATTTTACGTTTCGTCTTCTGTGATGTTGTACTGAGATTGCATCGTGGCTTTCGCGGACGCCATATGAGGCCACGATGCGAGCCACCATTGCCATCCAATGAGTTACTCGAGCATCCATCATTGTCGCATATTATATTCCAATTAGCGTCGGCGCTCGATGTGCGCGGCCATTTCTCCGATGGGCCCGAATGCGACTGATGATTTTTTAGTAATAATAATACAAATTATAATAGTAATGATTGTAAAAATAATATTTATTATTTAAATTTACTTGTAAAAAAGCATAATACAATAGTTATTAATAGTTCAGCTAGTAATGCAATAACAAATGAATTAAGAAAATTGGCAAATGATAAATTGTCTAATGACAATGCAAATGGGAATGATAATTATGAAATTGTGAGTAAATGGAATAATTTAAATTATTATATTCATATTTATTCGAATAAAATTAATGTAATTTTCTATCAAATATATATAACAATTTATATTTATTTTTTTCTTAGTATTGGTTCTATAGCTACTTTTTTACAGCATACATACTTAGGTACATACAGAGCAGAATATAAGAAAAATAATTAAATTCAATGGCAGAAAATGTGAGAGAAAATTAAAAAATAATAAAAAATACATACATACATATGTATACTACTTTAATTCTTTTTTCACTATTAATTGTAATAAATTGTAGATATACTTTAATGTTTATGAACGCTAACAAATTTTACAACTGAACAAAATAAATAAAAGCATATAATATTATTACTAAATATAAATTAAAGCTATTGACGAAAATCGAAAACGTAATACATACATTCAAATTGCTGAGCTTCAATTGAGAAAAGAAACGTCTAAAAGACATATGTAATTACTTGCATATATACATATATATTCATTCATATGTACATACATATATCGCTGAAAGGATAATGTAATATTAAACGCCGAAATATATAAAAATATTTCTTAAAAAGGCAGCAAACTACGCATCAAGAGTCTGCGTTTAAGGAAAAAATTGTACAAAATTTTTTTATTTGCTGTGCTTAAATGACTTGAAAAATTAAATTTAGATATTTTCTTGCATGTTAAGTGCTTAATAAATGTAGCAAGAGAAATATTATAATTTTCTAATATCCAAGAAATTCTGCTTAATAAAGCTTATGTTTTTTTTTTTTAATTTTAATAAATAATTTGTGAATTACACATGAAAACCAATGGAATGAGAAAATGCTCTGCCAATCACGCACTAGCACTAATTTAAAAGTTTATTACTCTACCGTGCTTTTTAAGCCATTGAAAGTTCAGTTGAAAGGTTTGGAAAAGTTGTAAATAAATATTTTTAATTATTACCCAGATTAAGAATAACTTATAAAATCTTTAAAAACTGCTTTTAATTTTGGTAACTTTTCTCAAGCACTCCAAAAAATAGTAAGCTTTTCTGTTGTAGCTTTTGAAAGTTTGCGAAGCCGCCTTCACCGTTTACAAGAAATGATTAAATTTCGTCTCCAATAATCTTAAGCTTTTGAAACAATTTTTTTTAGTAAATTTTAGTCCTCAAAAAAGCGGAGCGCCTCAGATAAGAAGGTAGTTAATAATATTTTTTCGGAAATCTACTTCATATGCGTACAAAACATCTGAGATAACTTTCAAGTTATACTCATAAGGCTGAGAAAATAATAAATTTAAAATTTTATATCACATAATTTGTGAAGTTATGATATGCAAGATGAGCTTTTTCATGTGTCCTACCCAACCGAGAAGTTTTCATTTGTCTTCAAAAGCACTATTTAGCGCGCTGTAGTTTCTAGGAGTTCAGTTAAAATTGAAAAAAAAAATTAATAGTAATTTTAATTCCAAAGCATTAATCAATGGATAAAGCTCAATATTTTTATTATTATATTATATTTTTTTCAAAGGCTTCCATGCAGCTTTTTAATGTTTGCAAACTATCTGCCATAAATATTGAACCTCCGCACTTTCTGTGAGCTTTTGGTTGAGTTTTTAAGTGTTTCTAGATACTGTGAAAGCTAAGCTTCAATAAAGAAAAAAATCTCAATTAAAGCGTATGGATATTTTAATAGCTTAAAGCTTATACTATACACATATGTAAAAAAAACTCTTGCTGCTGTATAAACGACACTTTGGCGTGCCAGCCAACTTTCGCTTTTACAAAAGCTTCAGATCAGCTTTCAATAATTTGTCAACTTTGTTCTATAACTTTTTGTAAGCATTCACATAAGCTTTGTAGTGTGTTTAAAAACTATGTAAGCTTTGCTCGGTTACTTATAAATTGGCATTTGATAATCGAAAGCACTTTGGAAAGCCCATTAGCTAGCATTTCCCAGTGTGTTCAACTCCTCTATCTTCCTTTAAACAACTTTTTTCTGTAAAACAAAAAAGAATCAAATACTGCCATAATTATCATAAGTCTGAAATTTCTTCCTTTCAACTTTTATGCTCCGAAAAAAGTCATTTGAGTACAGCAAACGCTGTTGTTGCGTTCCGGTATGAGTATAAAAGAAGCTTTAAATACAATACTTACAAACATACATATGTACATATGTACTAATACGATGTCCATAACATCCAATGCTGTTAGTTAAGATGAAGCTTTAAAAGCTTTAATTTATTCAGTTAAGTACTATTGAAATCTATTATTCTCTACCTCTTATTTAACTAGTTTTTCTGTCAAACCAAAAAAAAAAAAAAAAACAACAAAAAAAGGCAACTACAAAAACAAAAAACAATGTCCTTTATGCTCATGACTGGTCACACAATATACGACAGTTGAACACCGATATGCTAATTTGAATAATTACAATTTTCAAAGCAAAAACAAATATATAAGAAATACATAATAATTATAAAAGGAAAAATACAGTTAAATTTAGTTCACTTTCTACATATATGCAAATAAAAAAAATAATAATAAGCAACTTACAATTAATATACATATAAACCAAAAATAATATGATAAATAACTAAAAAAATATATATATATAATATATACTTATATCAAAAATTAGCGTACGAAGCAAACTGTATTTTTACTATATATAAAAACGCGGTAGGTTTGTGTGAATGGCTAAATACAGCAACAAGATTTATGTGTAATATACAATATACATATACATATAGCGCGATAGGTATGGTGATGAAGAAAATAAAAAGTATAAAATAACATACATACATACTTACATACATAATTGAAATGAAAAAAAAATATACTCATTTTATAATACCTATATTTTTGCGGAAAAAATTTTATACGATGCAATGAAAACAAGAAGAAAAAACATACATAAGTACATATAAATAGCATATAAAATTATAAAATTAAATTATGGCATAATAGCATATACAGATATACTTAAAATAAATAAATATATATATATTATATATAATAAATTTATACTAATGAATTATGATAAATAATGAAATAAAATAAAGAAAAAGAAGATACATGACCGCAGCAAAGCAAATCAATAGAATTAAATAGGCAAATGAGTAGCAAAGTGTGTGTGTGGAGGGGAACGACGAAATTTATATACACAAAAAACCATACGAAGAGAATAATAGGAAAGTAACTGTAATATTTATTAAAAGCCATTCTATGTAATGTTGCAAGCAAAAAATAACAAAAAATTAAAACAAAAAAAAAAAACAGCAACCAAAAACGAATAACAATAGAGCAAAAAATTGAAATTAACAAAACTTACAAGTATGCATTATATATCCTATGAGATGGAGAATTCTGGGGGAGTATTAAAAATAATGCTTTTTAAGTAACACGCAAATTTTCCACAATATGACTGAGGGATCTACTAAATTTTCAATTCAAGTATTTTCAAAATAGTTTTTGTATTTAATAAACACTTAAGCCGCGCAGTTAAATAGCTTTTTGTTCGATGAGTAAGGGCAATAAGAATTAGCCAGTAACGAAATGCCGAAATGGCTTTTTGCCTTATCGTGCGCGTTTCAGTAAAAGTCACCCATAATTGTTACTGCCCATCGGCTCGCCGAGCAGAGCTAATATCAGCTCTGTGTCTGCCATCACTGTAGCGTACATGTATTGTTGTTAGGTATTGTACAGATGCATTTCCTAACGCGTATTTCTTCTAATAACAAGTCCTTTAATAAATTGTATAGCTTTCTGTGAGTACCTAAAATGTGTTTTAAAAAATTTTGCATTGAGTTTTTTTTTATTGAAAACTATTTAACCTACATCAAATAGCCACTGGTGTTTGTATATTTTTTCTTAATTTTTTTTAAATAATTTTTATATAAATTTTCTCAAAAACTCCCCCTCAGTCCGTTGTAAAACACTATTGTCTTGCTAAGAAGATTTTTACCTAAAATTGCCAGCAAATTTTGAGCCAATATACATTTTTACCTTACATATTTGTAGTAAACTGCAATATATTTCGATTATAAAATTTCCAGTTTCTATTTCATATATTTATAATTACGCTTTGTTCTATGGCCGTTGTTTACATATATATTTACTGTTTGCCAATAAAACCAAATTATAAGTCAATACCTTAGTAGTTATTATACATATGCAAATGAGATTCGTAAACAAAAATACCAAAAAAAAAAAAAAATATATATAAAAATTATAATTAAACATTAAGTATCTTCGTTTTTCCAAAATAAAAAAGACGCGCCCATAAGAGTTTCAAACTTTCCACCTACATTTGTTTAATCATTTTGAAAAATAAGAAAAGAACGAACAATATAATAAAATAAAACAATTATTAAATAACTTAAAGTAATATTAACAAATATACATACTTACAATATATACTTATATATATATATATAAATATATTAAATTTTGTAATTAACTGGTAGGTCGTGATGCAATGCAAGTTTGTTGGCGTTCATTGTGGAGATATCCTGTTTGAAAACTGGCCGATAAAGTATTTAATAAATTCAGCAAAAATCAGAAAAAATATCAAACTGCAAAAATAACAACAACAAATTGACTGCAGTGCGAAGCGAAAAAAAAATATGAAAAAAATATTAATGAAATAAACAATACTCTGCATTTAATCAACTAACATATTGATATACAAAATCATTGCAAGCATTTACATACATAGGAGCAAATCTCTATATAACAACAACTACAACTACAAGTATTTTCAGCCAACACACATTAAAAAATTAAACAATGAACAAGTCCAATACGTATAATGCTAGATTCTAACGAATTGAATATAAAAAATTTAAGCGCTTTCATCCATTTGTACCCCCAAAAGTCTCATCAATGCATACATAAACGTATATATATATACGTACATACTCGTACATAAATAAGAACGTAGTAGAAAATTTTGGAGTTTCACTGCCGTATTGTCCGGCCAAAGGCTCCCACTATTCCACATACATACAAACATACATACATGCAAACAAAACATACATACATACATATATAGCGAATAAATTCATAGATATTGCAATAACGGTAAAATATACAAATATTGTAAATGGCGTATTACAGACGAAATAACAACAACAAATTATTAATGCATTTAAGGTCATGGAGCAAATGAAGTCGACATACGCGTACATACACACAAACATACATATTAAAATGCATAATTGAAAAGGACATAGTATTTCGTTTATGTACACGTATGCACATAGCATGAAATACATTTCACAAATGCAACAACATCATTATCAAATTTATAATCAGTAGTAAAATGAATTGGTGGCAGCAAACCGGAAGGAGATTTCTTAAAGCAAGGATAACAATAGTAAAATGTAATGACATACATACTGCAAGACATACTACATACATACATTCACCAAGTATTTAAATCGATTTCATGCATAATTCGATATATGAAAACAACAAACACAAAATGTAAACAATAATATAAATAACAATGTAATTAAGAAGGAAATGATAAAAGGTAAATAGCATAGCGAATCAAATAAATAAATTATGTAATAATGAAATGGCAAACGCAAAACAGCAAAATATATATTATACATACAATATAAAAAATAATAAAAGATGAAAAAGCGAGAAAAATAAAGCACACGTTCGAAAAAAAAGATTAAGTGGTTTTTACTGGTATTGGCAGACTTAGCAGTTTGGAAAAGAAGAGCACAACTGAGACACAGTTATTAAATTTATCGAGTACCCATTAAAAATCTGCAATACGTGAGCTCTCTGTTTTATTTAAAAAATCGATTTTCATGGTTTAAATTTACCGCAAAATGCTCAAACTGGACATTTTTCAACTACAATAATAGTTGATCGAATTTCACAATATTTTATGCCTTAGATACTAATTCCTCATTAAGTTAGATAATTAAAAGTTAACTGCATTATTTATTGGATATTTTACATAATTACTTTTTGAGTTAATTTTGCTGAATATTATTATTATGGAAATTTCATTTTTCTATGTATATTAGTTTTCCGACATCTAGCCCCATTGTACAATTTCGTCTGCTTTTAGTGCAGATATTGAATTTTTGTTTCAATACACAAATTATCAGAGCAAATGCTTTAAGTAATCGGTTCATTGCGCTACACATTCCTATTTGATATGGCAACATTCGCACACACCGGCGCTGTCAAATCACTGTCAAATCCGGCATTGCTGTGATTTCTTCTTTTGTGTACCCAAACAAATGTGCTTTTGTTGTTGTTTACAGCTGTCATCTGTTGTTTTGACCGTTCCACTACTTCGCGTTTTTGGCATGTTTGCTTATTGCTTTGACCACAGTGCTCTGCTTACTGCAGCGCAATCATACAAATACAAGAAACAGTGAAAGTCAAAACAAAAAGATGAGTTTTTTGACGTGGCACACAAGTTTATTAATATCGGTATTTTTCTTAATTTGTTTCTTAACATACACTTCAACCAATAATGCTGAGACGCAGGAGATACACAAACCATGGTATGAAAATCTACCAGCGGTAGCTATGGATTATAAAGTTCATATAGACGCAGGCAAGGAAGATTGCTACTACCAATATGTGCAAGCTGGTGCCACATTTTATGTTTCCTTCAGTGTAAGTTGGAAGATTTTTTCGTGGAGTACAATGACACCGCAACAATTAATTTGATTGTATGAATTTTACTGGCTTTAGGTGGTGCGCGGTGGTGATGGCATGGCTGGATTTGCTGTGCGTAATCCACAGGGTCAGATTGTAAAACCATATGAATGGCAAGCTACTGCTGATTATACGGATCAAGTATCGTCAGGTGGTTACTATTCCGTGTGTATTGATAATCAGTTCTCGCGTTTTGCGGGCAAACTGGTAAATATTTACATAACGGTAGTAAAGTACGACGCCTGGGATAAATATGCAAAGGAAATTGAGGAGTTGCAGCTAAATATGCAAAATTTCACAGTAAGTAATTGGCATAATATATGGCTTTGTACGTGTGTAATAGCAAAACAAAAGCATAAACTGGTTTAAAGAATGTCGATCGGTTATTAAAAACCAGTAATGTGTTACTGTTATTGTGCTCACTACAACGACAATATAAGCATCTAATATTTAATAATAAATATTTTCTTTAGGTTACCCTTGGGACTGTGGAGCGTAACATTAACGATATGTTGTCCTATCAATCTTACAGCAGAAATCGTGAAGCGCGTGATTTCGCATTACTAAACGACAACAATAGTTATATTCAAACATTCTCTATATGCCAAATTATTGTTATCTTTGTCGCATGCTCAGTGCAGGTTTGTATGATTTCAGGACAGTATCAAAACTAAGACTAATTATAAAAAAAACTTTCTTTCTAGGTCTTTTTCGTTCGAAAACTCTTTGATGTTAAGCTGACATCAAAATCCCGCATATAATTTAATAAATTTTTGTTTTGTATTGGGTTTTTGGTACCTTTCATTGTAAATTCATTTATTACAACTTAAGCTTATGGAATTACGAACAACCATGAAACATTTCAACTAAATTTTCCTTCTATCCAACACTACCATATTTTGCACTAGACAATTTTCATTACGCCTTGCATTTACATTTCGATGGAAATAGGAATTGAATAGACTTGTTTTAAACATTCTTTTGAACTGTGTATTATTATGCTCTTCTTGGCAATATATCACATAATTTTTATAAATTATATTTTATCGTACATAATTACTCAATATGTATGTTTGTAAGTGCGAAAGTGTGAATTTTTGTAAAATAAAAATGATATATAAAAATTGTATTGGAATAATCAATATAGACACATACTCATAACAGTTATTAGATGTTTTTGGCCATGAGCTGGCAAATCCCGCTTTGTGTTGCACTAAGGTATAAGGATTTCTTAAAACAGCTTATATAATATCCTTCCCTTGGCTCGAAAACGTAATATCTGTATTGCTAGGCTTCTGTTATTCTGGCACACGATGTGTCTTGATAGTATGGGGATTTTCGAAAGTCGCAGTCGTAACAGCTAACCACCCAGAGCTAATATGAAGCATTTATGACTCCACGAGGTGAGCTATGAAACATGTGAATTATTTAATTGCTCTATCTGGAAACACCCTCCCCTACCACATGTAGTCTCCTTGATGGTTGTTGTTGTTGTTGTTGTGGTAGCGGCTCTCCAATCCCACTTAGGAACAGGCTAGTTAGTCTAAGTCATCGAGATAGTCTCAATTCTCATGACAGCCGGACGACAGTATGCAGTTGACCCGGATTTTATTTGGCCAAGAGCTGTCACTCTCTCGGCGACCTAATCCCGTTTAGGTCAGCAGGCAATATTAGTCCCGTTGATCTCTCATACCGTAAGTTGTAGAGCTTCAATAAAATCCTCAATTTGTTAGCCGACTACACGACAACGTATATTGTAATCGGCCGAACTGCACCGATCTGTATCCTGGAGACTAGATTACCATGAAAACTCCAATTTGAGGGAGAAATCTAATAATGTCGGTGTTTTGTTGCGGTTAGCCTTTGCAGACAACGAGCTCGAGCAGCCTTGAGAGACCCGCGTGACCTTGGCACAACTTAGATCTGGATACTGTAGCAGGCTAAACTCTTTATCCAGACTCGACCCCAGCATATCCAACGTATGCCCTGCATGTGGAGAGCCTTCGCAGGACACTAACCACCTGTTCACATGCCCCTTTAAACCGATTCATCTAACCCCCTCCCCTTTTGGTCCAAATCCGTTGAAACAGCTCTGTTCCTGGACCTCCCACTAGATGACCTCGGCGACTTAGATTAATCAAACCTGTACCTAAACCGTGCTAGCGAGCCGCTACAACAACAATAATATCGGTTGTTCCCCACGGTTAATAAGTAGCTGAGGGTCTTCCGAAGAGAACACGACTATCGAACGAGATATACATATGTTACCGATAAAACTAGTAAAACATATATAGAGGGTAGGCCATTATCATACTTCACTCTCTTCTAGTGAATGGTTTTATCGGAACTAGACCACCAACTACTGCCGAAGGGTAGCTCGTCTGTGTGGAGAGACCAGAGTAATCCTAGAGTAGTTAATTGCTGGAAATTTAAGCAGAATTGACTTTTTCCTATCCAGAAACGAATCGAGATATATTGAACTCATGACCACTACTTCTGCACTTTGTGGTGAGCGTTTTGTATTTTTCCACGAAAGGGAGGAATCTACCGTTTTAAATCGTAAATCGGAGGAATTTTCACACCCCACAGTGGGTCGATCGCTTAAATTTGTTTTTTTTTTTTTAATTTTGGATGCAGGACGAACCGGAATTCGCACCCATTCCCCACTTTTTCTTTTTTTTTTATAGTTCTCATGGCAGAAATGTCGTAGGCCGCTCATTGGTGGCAAACAATTTATAAGGATATTTCGTCATTTGCATGAAAATATTAAAAAAAAAAATTTACAAATTTTTCCAGCTTGCTTTTGGAAACTGTTATACTGTGCGCTGTCAGCTGAGAATTGCCACTTTGTTCCCGCACAGTAAAGCTAAAAATTGTGTTTTAATTTGAAGCAAATATTTGAAAAAAAAATTATTATTGCATTGTGAAAATAATTTTTAATTAATATCTGCATTAAAAATTTTAATTTTCTTATAGTAATATAAAATGTCTTTTTTTAAATCAAATAAGATCATATGTATAAACATATATATGAATATATGTAAGTATGCATACAGACAATTAACTTTGGAAATCTCGCGGAGAAACTACTTACTTAGATCACTTATAACAGTATTGAACTGAAAATATAATCGTAGTGACAAGAAAAACAGCTGAGATTATTCACTCCACATCATCAGCGCCATTGCAGGCAGCTTCAACCCTCCAAAATCGGACGCGGCAGTAGGATGCGCGTAAGTAAAGTGCGTACGTAAACTCCGCCCACAATGAAGAGATAAAAACAAGTATTGTGGTTATGGTAAGTGTATGCGTGCAAAGAATATTTGTATGTATGCGCGTATGTATATTTATTTTGTTGCTCATCCGTTCGTTGGCCAGCTAAGGGCTTATCACTGTTTTGTGGCGCATGCGCTTACTCCTATGAAATGATTACATACATACACTATCATAAGTACAAAGAGCGTGTGTGTATACATACATATGTAGCTATCTTTTTGCATGTACAACCATTTGTACATATATTTTAGTGCGAAGGGTTAACATCCATTGCATCCTTACGAGAATAAAACAACAACGACAAAAAAAGGGCAAAACTTTTAGCTAGAAACAGTAGAAACAACTGTGGTTTCTGGTTACGATTATCTCGGCGGTGGTGACTATCGTCAACGCTAACAGCAGCAGTGTCAGCGATAGCGGCAGCGGCAGCGGCAACGTCAACACGTGAACAAAATTGTGGGAGGAGTATAATGAACCGCAAATGCCGAAGCGTTTGTGTAGAGTATCCAAGTGCGCGTGAATATGTGTATGTATACAAGCAAAGAGACGCCATCTTAAAACGAAATGGATGATCTATTACGAGATTGCATATATGTATGTATGTATGTTTGTACATATGTATGCATACTTCCATAGATAAATATTTACATCAGCATTGACTGCACGAAACGCTAGGGAAAGTGCATATAATGATGCCATAAAACGCATCTACTGCCTATGCAGCGTGCAAAAGGAAACTTGCCAAAGAATACAACAACAACTTTAGCTAAGCGCTTTCAGCGTGAGAGCACTCATAAAATATTTACAATATTATTAAAAGTGATTTTTTGGGAAAAAATCGCTGGTAAAAAGGTTACAAATTGCGGTCGCAGCGCTAGCGAATCCAAAAAAGAAAAACAAGCCACCACTCCGACCATAATTATGGAAATTACGTTTTATTGCGGTTTAAAAAGCGTTAACCATAGCCAAAAGCATTGCCATAAATGCAGCAGCAGCGAAAAAAAAAATGTTCCGCTGAAAAAGCTACAGCAGCAACGGAGTGCAGCATCATAAGTCGCGGCCACAAGCAGCAACCGCATATGGAGCGACCGCAAAACCTAACGGTTCTTCATATACTTACAATTTGAAATAAAGAAGTTACAAACCGCTTATAGGAAAATTTTGGGTGTTTGTATAGTGTCCTTTCCACCACACCCCACCACAAGGCTGCTTCACCCTGCTATGCTCTGCTCAGCTCTGCTCTGCTCGGCTCATCAGGACGAGTTAGAGCAAATAAATAACTAATATTGCATGGCAGTCGCATAGCGTTGCACGTACGGACAGTGTGCCAGTTAGTCAGTGAACGTTTGGCGTATAGTTCAGAAACAAATCATAGCAATTACAGACAGACAGATAAAAGAGTACATACAAACATACTATATGAAGTTAGTGACAACAATCACATTCAAATGTACAAACAAACAAGAAGTGTATACCAATTGATTTTCAATGCAGATTGTGCTTACTTGTACATATATATGTACCAACATACTATTTTGAGTGTATTTGTATGTCAAAATAGAAGAAAAAATGCCGTTTGACCAGTGGTATATACAAATATACATATAATATGTACACATTTGTTTTGAGAAAAATAATAAATAACTAAATAAGCAAAAAAAACAAAATAAATAATAAATAAATAAAGAGATTATTCTATTACAACTCGCCGGTGTTCAAGTCTCAATACCGACAGTAGGTGGACGTTTTTAATTCAAATTTGGCGGCTAGCCCAGTCTTCTTTTGGTGAGAGACGTATAAACATATATATGCACGTTAAAGTGAATGCAAAAAATAATAATTAAAGTGAATATAGAAAACAACAGGAATATTAAAAAAAAATTATTTACTTAAAAATTAGCATACAAATTCGAAAGACCGCCGCTACTTGTTCGCCGCTAAAATCCCTTTACGCATTTTTATATTTTTACAAAATTGCTTGGTTTAATTTGTGATTCGAAAATACAGTGCAGTCGAATTTTTAGCCTTTGTGACATATATGTTTACAATACATATATACACATACTCGAACATTTGCGTATGCAGGGTCGCGTCTTTACTTCGGTGCGCCATTTCGTATGCTCTGTTTACGGAAATACCAAATTATTATTTAAAGTAAAACTTTAAAAGTGGCAGTGAGCAGAGAAATGTAATAATAACACAATGCAACATACGAGTTTTATGTTAAACATTCGCGAAACTGTTGCGATAACAGAAGAAAAACTTATTTAAATTCGAACGAAATGTAATAAAAACTTTTGCTGGTGCATAAAAGAAAATAAAAACAACAAATATCATGTAAACATAAAAGTTTAAAGTTGTACGTAAATAAATTTCTAACAGACTTGTTGACAAATACTCAGTTCCGCCTTACAGCGCATGTTAATTTACAAATGGCGTCGGCAAACAGTTCGTTATGTTACGTATACGCGCTGTTGAGAGACAGACCAGTGCAGCGATTCCATATTTGCTTAACAAATCTGTTTAAACATGACTAAGAATGTTGAAATAAATGATGCTTAAAACATGAATCAGTGAAAGAAATAAAATAAAATGAAAAATGAAGAAACTACTGCAATGTAATAATGAAATCATGCTAATTATTATTTTCAAACCGACGAAGTTTAATATTTAAAAGAGTTAACATCAATTAATAGTAAAAATAAAATATCAAGTTGTCTAATAAGAAAAACTCTAGCGCGCTCTTTTCATTAAATTGTTTCTTAAAAATTAATTCAATATTAGGTAAAGTATAATATGGAAATTATGTACTTTAATTAATAAAAACTTTACTTTTATACAATCAATAAAGTACAAGTTATTTTAATACTCCCACCGATGATCCATTTCTAAAATGATTAAAAATTTATTAAAATTCATATGCACATAATTATTGTATTATTTCGTAGTGTCTAATAATAATTACAGTTACTGAAGCTGTTAGAGCAGATAATATTGTGATCTATTTTGAGTGCTAAAAAATAAATCCATGGACAAGGACTGTTGACTAAGCTTTCAATATCATCTAGTCTAATACTAAGAAGACTAGCCGAAACAAATAACAAGAGAACTTTGGGATTTATATGGCCAAAGAGTTTAGTTGATATTGAGCTGTGTTAATTTTTTCTAACAGAATTAAATTTTTTTTGTCTTAAATATTGAATTTTTATTATCTAGTTTTCTCGCGTGGCGCTTAGGCCCAAACAATGACAGAGGCTGTGTTTAACAGACTCTTCCCCCTTCACTTTCCTGCAGCTGCGACAAAAGTGATTTGATATAAATGACATTCTCTTATCCTGAGTTCCCATTAAACATTGCGCTGATGTTATGCCAATTGTGGTACTAATGAAGAAACAATCTATGAGGAGTATATTTTTCCTCTAACTTAGCAGTGGCCAGGCTATGCTAGCACCTTACATATATACATATTATATAAACATATAAATACATACACGTATAAATATAAGCTTTGATATAGGTATATATGTATCTTGTGCAAAACTAAGATTGTTCTTGCTTCCGCAACCGCACCTGACACTCAATTGCCCGTCCGCCCATTGACCGAGTGCTTCTACAGTTTTTGGCACTTTTGCCGTGGTGAAATTCCTTTGCAGGGATATATAGGTAGCTTCCCAGTGAGAGTATATAGCAATAAATTGGTTAGGGATCGTAGATTTAATAAATCGTTTCGGAGCTGTCGTAATTGCAGTAAATTCTGTATGAAAAACATCAAAGGGGTTCGGTAGTCTCATGCTCAAGTTGAGTTAGAGTGATGTGGAAATATGTGCAAAATTTTTCCATTCATTCCGCTCTGGAATCCTCAGGAAAACAATATTTTAATATTATGTAGTCTGCTTCATTCGGCATTCTTATAGAAGATAGCATCCAAGTGTGCGCAGTTTCTCGGCCTCTGCAGAGATGAGTGACATTTAGTCTAAATGCATTGCAGCTCTCTTGAAGTTTAAGGTAGAAATCTATTTTTTCCAGTGGTTTTGAAGAGCTTCTAGCGCCTGCATTGGAGTCGATGAAAGAGATCTCGTTCAAGTAACAACTGTAAACTGCTGAACTCTGTTCATCTAAAAATGACTTCAACTGGAGGCAGTTACAACCTAGAAAAAAGATATGTTTGACTATTGTGGGAAATATATGGTCTCAGTTCTCCATGTTCCCGCTTTACAAGCGTAAGAGCAGTCATAGCTTTATTCTACCCATTAAAGCTATAAAAGGGTTAATGTCCAGCCGCAATATATACTTTACTTTACTGGCGTAGACACCGCTTACGCGATTATAGCCGATTTAACAACATTGCACCATCCTTTTCTTCTTTTTGCTCTTTGGCGCCAATTGGAAATTCTGCCAGATCCTTCTCTGCCTAGTCTTTCCAACGTAATGGAGGTCTTCCTTTTCCTCTGCTTTCTGCGGCGGGTACTGCATCGAAAACTTTCAAAACTGGAGTATTCGTATCCATCTACACATGACCTAGCCAGCGTAGCCGTTGCCTCTTGATTCGCAGAACTGCCGCCGTATAGCTCATCGTTCCACCGTCTGCGATATTCGCCGTTGCCAACGCGCCAAGGACCATAAATCTTACGCAAAATGTTTCTCTCGAAGAACCCCAAGGCCGACTCATCAGCTGTTGGCATCGTCCACGCCTCTGCCCCAGATAGTAAAATGGGTATGATGAGCAACTTGTAGTTTTGGTTTGGTTATCTACGACTACAAAGTTATAACTGTCAACAGCGAAATGGGAGCCGAGTCGCGAATGCGATGACTGTTTATCTGATAACAGGAGATATTTCGACTTGCCCTCGTTTACTACCAAACCCATTTGATTCGCGTCTTTATCGAGTCTGGAGAAAGCAGAACTAACGGTGCGCTTGTTGAGGCGAATAAACTGTAAACTTATAAAAGATTGTACTTTCTCTATTCAGCTCTGCAGCTCGTAGTATTTTATCCAGCATCAAATAAAAGAAGTCAGATGATAAGGAGACGCCTTGTCTGAAATCTCGATCCTGACGGAGCTTTTGGTATAGCTCAAGGTCAGTTTAAGTTTTGCGGAGATACCAAATTCAGACATAGCGACGCAAAGGTAGCTCCTATTCGTGCTGTCGAAGGCGGCTTTAAAATCGACGAAGAGGTGGGGAGTGTCGATCCTCTTTTCACTGGTCTTTTCCATGGTGAATATTTGGTCAATGATTGACTTTCCACGTCTAAAGCCACACTGATAAGGTCCAACCAGTTTGTTGACGGTGGGCTTCAGTCTTTCACACAATACGCTGGACGCTGGACCTTATAAGCCTCCTTATCCCACTGTAATTGGCGCATACTGCGGGGTTCCCTTTTTTGTGGATTGGGCAGAGCACCTTACGTTCCTTAAGTCGTCGAATCTTCTCAAAGAATTTTCGAGCATTACCCTTGTCGATAAGCTTTCTTTTCTGCAGATGCGTCTTGCTTCCCTCTTCAGTTCTCGGCATCTATCCCATCCTGCACGTGTTGTGGTCGATCGCAACGTTGCGAGGTAGACAGTCTATTTTCTCTTCACTGCGACTCCGTAATTCTCATCGCACCAGCTGGTTTTGCGACCTTTACGAAATCCCATAGTTTCGTTTGCAGCTGTATATAGGGAGCACGAAATGACGTCCCACAGTTCCCGTATACCGAGTTGCTGATGAGTGTTCTCAGAGAGCAGGAGTGCCAGTCCAATAGAAAATCGTTCGGCAGTCTGTTGTGATTGCTGCTTTTCAGCGTTGAACTTTCCTTGTGTTTGTTGACGGGCGTTCTTCGATAACCAGAGGTGCATACGTATCTTCGCTGCAGCAAGATAGTGGGCCGAGTCGATGTTGAGTCTTCAGAGTGTACACACGTCAAGAACACTGGAGACATATCTTCCATCTATCAAAACACGATCGATCTGGTTTTGATTTGATCTAAGAGCAAGCATGAGATGCTTTCTGAAGGCAAATAAGTATAATTTTCACTAATCTGATTTGTATACAAGTAATCTCATAATTTGTTTATGCAACCCACCCACTTTTCATGGTAACTTGGCAAACGACTCCTTTTTAAGTGTCATAAAACTGAGATTACAAACCATTAAAGCTCTGCCACCACAGCGTCGTTGTTAATTAAAAATAAAGTGCACTGATTAAATAGACGATTGCACCGAGGGTGGGATGGAAGGTGTAACTTCCATGTATGCATGTAAATATACGAGTATGTGAATGTGTTTTGTGATGTACTACCATTTGGAAGCTGGCACTTTGTACGCTAAGTTAAGATGCGCTACAAAAAAGTAGAAAAAAAGCCGTGATAATGATGTAGAAACATATTTTTTGCGTTTATCGAGCCGCAAAAATCACACCAACAACCACCCAAGGCGCAGCCAGTAAGAGTGCTTCGCCTAGCGCCGACATCTCGTTACGCAACACGCGCTAAGCCATCCGCCAGCAACATCCGGTGCGAACGGCGATAGCAGCCGAACACATTAGCTGTTGTATGACCGCGTTTTCCACAGCGGTATCTTCAATCGCCTCACCCTACTACACGCTGAGATCTCCATGTTTGTTGGCATTGGTTGATGATACTTTTACTTTAACTTTTGAACATACCAACATCGAAGGGGTGGGTTCCGTGGGTGGGCAGAGGCGTGTGCAGGCCGTTTATTATAATGTCAAATACTCAAATACTTCATTTTGCATACAGAATTTGTTGTTTGGCTGGTTGTTGTTGTTGTTGGTAAGTACTAGTATCAATTTCACTCGCTTTGTTGCTATTACGTTATGAACTTGTTATCGATAGGTCTATTCAAAGCGTTGTGTTATCACTCGGTGTGTCGTTAATGGTTTAGATTTTGCCTAGACTATAAAAATGCGTGTGGAAAGTATTAAAATGGGGTTGCTTTATATACGTACATATGTATATTTTTAATGCGAAATAAGATGTTTTCAGGGAATTGGAATTTATTTAAGAAAATTCAATTAGAAATTTGTGCAAAAATTTTCGAAATAGATTTAAGTTTCTTCAACTGTCTTTGACCAGTCTTTTTCAATCCTGATGGTTGAGATGTGGAAACTTCAGCGAATCCTTTCAACTTGTGCAGGTCCTATGAATACAGCTCATGAGTTTTGGGCAAGATTATGTAGTGTTTCTCTGCATTTCTTATGTATTTACCAATTTACAATCTTAGAGCTGCTCAACTTTCGGTTAGTCAGTTTTGATTTAAGCATTGGCTAACGCTTTGTGGATCCTAAGTACTTTAGGTATAAAGAAACCAGGGTTTCTAAGCTCACTATTTTGCAATTCCCCTTTTTTTCTTTCTCCCAACATGATCTTATCTCATTTTTTTTTCGCTTGCGTCAATTGCAAGCCCACTCGCTCCATCTTTTTCGACTCTATCTTATTTGAAAGATCTTTCGTCCAGGAAGTGTAGTTAACTTCAGCTTCTAGCACAGCTGGCATTGTGCTTAACGAGGAGCAAAAAGATATTAATTCATCGACTTTTAGCTTAGGCTTCTCACCCACTTCTAGACATGAAATGAAAGTATAAAATTTTCAAAATGGATTTTAATTTCCTCTTTGGAGTCTACACTCGATATCTTGGGGTCTTTATCAACCTCATTATATAAATATTATATCTCTATACTAGATTATTTCCGTAATAAATTTTTTATTAATAAACTATTATACGAATGGTCTTTTATTTGAGGCGTCACTCAGAGACTCTCTTGATCTCACATTGTGGAATT